CGCTCCTGGGGGTTCTGCAGCGTGGCCTCCAGCAGCGCGGGGGACGGTGGGCTCCCGCTGCCGCCCCGCCGCAGAACCCCCAGGAGCGCTTCCAGCGCCGCCGGAGTGATGGCCTGGAGCGCGTTGGGCTGCGGGATTTGGGAACAGGTGGGAATTCCGATGTGAGCCCTGTATTGATCCCATTGTTTATTGGCCCCCCGAGACCTCCAGCGCTGCTTGTCATGGGGGTGTGCATTGATTTAAAGCAGATTTTGGAATTATTAATTAAATCGATTTATAATTGCTGTGGAAATTAAAAACCGATTTGGGCTCCGAATTGGTAATCCAAGGATTTTCCAGTGTCCAGCCGAGAGGGGAACTGGAGGTGAAGCAGCAGCTGCAGCTTAAAAACTTCCCATAACTTAATTATTTATTCCATTTTAACAATTAAATTTAGTATTTCAAGAAAATAACTTAATTCAGTACTTTGACATGTTATATTTAACTATTAATAATTAAAAATAATTTAATTTAGCTATTTAATTATTTTACTCAATTATTTCCACATTTTGCTTTATTTTATTTAATTATTTAATTTTATAACTTTATTTAATTACTTTATTTAATTATTCAGCTGCATTTGATTGTTTAAATTCATTATTTAATTCCTAATTTAAGAAATTATTGTATTTTTATAAAAATTTTAAATTATTTTTATTATTATTTTATTTTATTTTTAAAAATTATTTTATTATTTATTTTAATTCTTTATTTTAATTGTTCAATTTAATTACTTAATTTAACATTTCTGAGCTGATCCCACCGAATTTAAGGCTGGAATGTTAAACGGAATTTTTGACAGCTTTGGAAGATTCAGTGGTTTAATTCCAGCCTTGGAATGAATAAAACTTTGGGGTTTATCCCTGGAATGAGGAGCTCAAATCCTCCCTGTCTGCTTCCCAAGGGTACCTTGGATCCGGAGAGGATGGCTCCAAAAAGATGGATAATCCGGAGCTGGATCGTTTCCGGGAGCTGCTTCCCAGCTTGGAAACTCTCTGCGAGGATGAGGAGGGAAAGATTTCATCAGAGGAACAAACAGCAGAAAAAAACCCCCAAAACCGAAACAGAAAAATGTCCTTTTCTAGCTAAAATTAGGGAAAAAATCCTTTTCCACTCAAAAAAAGATGGAAAAATCCCTTTCCTACCCAAATCCACCCCACAGGGGTGCTGGACCCTGCTGGTCACGGAGAGGATGAGGATGCTCAGAGGTTTTCCATCTCTGGTTCTGCCAGGAATGGGGTTTTGTTCCAAAAAACCCCCAAAAATTTGTGTCAATTGGGGTTCAGTTGGGGATTTACGGGGCGGAGTTCTGGGGGATTTTTACAACGGTGCTGCCTCTAAAAGGGGATTTTTGGGGCTTCCCTGGGAAAAATCCCCTTTTGTGTTGATTTGTGTGGGTTCTGCAGGTGGTGCTGGGCTTAATTCCTGCTTTGGGATCCTGCTCCTCTTCCCAGGACACGGGAGCAGGTACAGGATCCTACATTTCTGTAGGAGCAGGTGTGGGATAACCTGGAACAGGTGTGGGATCCTACATTTGCCCTGGAATCCTACAACAACCCTCAGATAGGTGTGGGATAACCTGGAACAGGTCTAGGATCCTATATCTGCCCTGGAATCCTACAACAACCCTCAGATAGGAGTAGGATAACCTGGAGCAGGTGTGGGATCCCATATTTGTGGGATAAGAACGGGATAACCTGGAGCAGAATGACACAGGATCCCTTTAGGTCCTCGGATCAATTCCCTGACATCCCTCCAGGGATCCCATAAATATTCCCTGATCCCACCCCTGCCCCAGCATCCCCCCCATCCCTGGACACTCCACACTTACGGATCCCACCCTGACCTTTCCCTTTCCCAAATCCCGCTTTTACCTTGGAAAAAGGCACCGAACTCGGGGGGCAGCGGGGCGGGGGCGAACTTGTATTTGCTCTTCTCCTTGGCGCTGATGGATTCCCTGGAAAGAGAGAGGTGAGGAGGGGAAAATCCAGGATGGGGGAGGGATTTTGGGATGCGGGGGGCGCCCCTCACCCGCTCAGCTGCCGACGCCAGGTCTGGTAGGGGTCGAGGAAGCACTCGCAGAGGTGCAGGGCGTGGAGCATCCCGTTTTCCAGCTGTGTCCGGTTTTCCAGCTGTGTCCGGTTTTCCAGCTGTGTCCCGTTTTCCAGCTGTGTCCGGTTTTCCAGCTGTGTCCCACTTTCCGGCCGTGTCCCCTTCTCCAGCTGTGTCCCCTTCTCCAGCTGTGTCCCATTTTCCAGCTGTGTCCCGTTTTCCAGCTGTGTCCCGTTTTCCAGCTGTGTCCCCTTCTCCAGCTGTGTCCCGTTTTCCAGCTGTGCCTGGCTCCGCTCGTCTCCCGGGATGCTCCGCAGCTGCCGGGAAAGCCGAGCTTTAATCCCCGACATGCTCCAAAAATGGGATGAGTTTTTTGGGGGGAAACTCCGCTTTGGGAGGAGGATGGGATCATCAACCAATCAGAGCCCAGAGCAGCACAAACTGGATGTACTGACCAATCAGAACCCAGAGCTGCACTGACCAATCAGCACCTGTCAGCGCAAAGCTCTTGGCCAATCAGCACCAGAGTAGCACAAGCTGTGGACTCATGGACCAATCAAAATACAGAGCAACACAACCTGTACAGCTCTCAACCAATCAACATCAAGAGTCACACAAGCTGTGAACTCATGGACCAGTCAGCATCCAGAATCACAGAACCCCATGGTCTTGCTGACCAATCAGATTGCAGAGCAGCACAACCTATGGATTCCCTGACCAATCAGCATCCAGAATCACACAACCTACAGAGACGCTGACCAAGTCACACAACCTGTGAATGCACTGACCAATCAAATCCCAGCACAGCACAACCTGTAAAGCTCCCAACCAATCAGAGCCCAGATTCACAAAACGTATGGACTCAGTGGCCAATCAGAGCTGAGCCCCTCCCCAGACAATCAGGCCCTGCCCATTCCCGTTCCCATTCCCAAAACCCATGACCATTCCCATTCCCGTCCCTGTTCTGATTCCCATGACCCTTCCTATTCCCATTCCCATTTCTGCTCCAGTTCCCGTTCACTTTCCCACTCCCATTCTTCCTCCCATTCCTATTCCTGCTCCCATTCCCACTCTTGCTCCCATTCCCATTCCCACTCCTGATCCCATTCCCGTTCCCATTCCTGCTCCCATCCCCATTCCCATTCCCACTCCCATTCCCGCTCCCGCTCCTATTTCTGATCCTGTTCCTGCTCCCATTCCCGTTCCCATTTCCACTCCCGCTCCCATTCCCATTCCCATTCCTATTCCCATTCCCGTTCCCATTCCTGCTCCCACTCCCATTCCTGCTCCCACTCCCGTTCCCGTTCCCACTCCCATTCCCATCCCCATTCCCGTTCCCGTCCCCATTCCCATTCCATTCCCATCCCCATTCCCGCTCCCGTTCCCATTCCCATTCCCGTTCCCGTTCCCGTTCCCATTCCCATCCCATTCCTATTCCCACTCCCGTTCCCGTT